CTCTAGACCCTTCCAGAGCTGAGATATCGAAACTCAAAATTTCGACCAGAAAAAAAAACGACAGTGTTACCCCTTACGTTTTTTTTTTTTGGGCGAAAAATTAAGTATCCCCAATCTTCTCAAAACTCTGGATTCTGATAGAGGGCCATGAGACTTAGACCTGAGTGCAACAATGGAGGCTCTAGACCCTTCCAGAGCTGAGATATCGAAACTCAAAATTTCGACCAGAAAAAAAAACGACAGTGTTACCCCTTACGTTTTTTTTTGGGGGCGAAAAATTAAGTATCCCCAATCTTCTCAAAACTCTGGATTCTGATAGAGGGCCATGAGACTTAGACCTGAGTGCAACAATGGAGGCTCTAGACCCTTCCAGAGCTGAGATATCGAAACTCAAAATTTCGACCAGAAAAAAAAACGACAGTGTTACCCCTTACGTTTTTTTTTTGGGGGCGAAAAATTAAGTTTCCCCAATCTTCCCAAAACTCTGGATTCTGATAGAGGGCCATGAGACTTAGACCTGAGTGCAACAATGGAGGCTCTAGACCCTTCCAGAGCTGAGATATCGAAACTCAAAATTTCGACCAGAAAAAAAAACGACAGTGTTACCCCTTACGTTTTTTTTTGGGGGGGCGAAAAATTAAGTTTCCCCAATCTTCTCAAAACTCTGGATTCTGATAGAGGGCCATGAGACTTAGACCTGAGTGCAACAATGGAGGCTCTAGACCCTTCCAGAGCTGAGATATCGAAACTCAAAATTTCGACCAGAAAAAAAAAACGACAGTGTTACCCCTTACGGTTTTTTTGGGGGGTGAAAAAGTAAGTTTCCCCAATCTTCCCAAAACTCTGGATTCTGATAGAGGGCCATGAGACTTAGACCTGAGTGCAACAATGGAGGCTCTAGACCCTTCCAGAGCTGAGATATCGAAACTCAAAATTTCGACCAGAAAAAAAAAACGACAGTGTTACCCCTTACGTTTTTTTTTTTTGGCCAAAAATTAAGTTTCCCCAATCTTCTCAAAACTCTGGATTCTGATAGAGAGCCATGAGACTTAGACCTGAGTGCAACAATGGAGGCTCTAGACCCTTCCAGAGCTGAGATATCGAAAATCAAAATTTCGACCAGAAAAAAAAACGACAGTGTTACCCCTTACGTTTTTTTTTTTGGGGGGGCGAAAAATTAAGTTTCCCCAATCTTCCCAAAACTCTGGATTCTGATAGAGGGCCATGAGACTTAGACCTGAGTGCAACAATGGAGGCTCTAGACCCTTCCAGAGCTGAGATATCGAAACTCAAAATTTCGACCAGAAAAAAAAAACGACAGTGTTACCCCTTACGTTTTTTTGGGGGGCGAAAAATTAAGTTTCCCCAATCTTCCCAAAATTCTGGATTCTGATAGAGGGCCATGAGACTTAGACCTGAGTGCAACAATGGAGGCTCTAGACCCTTCCAGAGCTGAGATATCGAAACTCAAAATTTCGACCAGAAAAAAAAACGACAGTGTTACCCCTTACGTTTTTTTTTTGGGGCGAAAAATTAAGTTTCCCCAATCTTCTCAAAACTCTGGATTCTGATAGAGGGTCATGAGACTTAGACCTGAGTGCAACAATGGAGGCTCTAGACCCTTCCAGAGCTGAGATATCGAAACTCAAAATTTCGACCAGAAAAAAAAACGACAGTGTTACCCCTTACGTTTTTTTTTTTTGGGGCGAAAAAGTAAGTTTCCCCAATCTTCCCAAAACTCTGGATTCTGATAGAGGGCCATGAGACTTAGACCTGAGTGCAACAATGGAGGCTCTAGACCCTTCCAGAGCTGAGATATCGAAACCCAAAATTTCGACCAGAAAAAAAAAAACGACAGTGTTACCCCTTACGTTTTTTTTTTTTTGGCCAAAAATTAAGTTTCACCAATCTTCTCAAAACTCTGGATTCTTATAGAGAGCCATGCGACTTAGACCTGAGTGCAACAATGGAGGCTCTAGACCCTTCCAGAGCTGAGATATCGAAAATCAAAATTTCGACCAGAAAAAAAAACGACAGTGTTACCCCTTACGTTTTTTTTTTGGGGGGCGAAAAATTAAGTTTCCCCAATCTTCCCAAAACTCTGGATTCTGATAGAGGGCCATGAGACTTAGACCTGAGTGCAACAATGGAGGCTCTAGACCCTTCCAGAGCTGAGATATCGAAACTCAAAATTTCGACCAGAAAAAAAACGACAGTGTTACCCCTTACGTTTTTTTTTTTGGGCGAAAAATTAAGTTTCCCCAATCTTCTCAAAACTCTGGATTCTGATAGAGGACCATGAGACTTAGACCTGAGTGCAACAATGGAGGCTCTAGACCCTTCCTGAGCTGAGATATCGAAACTCAAAATTTCGACCAGAAAAAAAAAACGACAGTGTTACCCCTTACGTTTTTTTGGGGGGGGGTGAAAATTAAGTTTCCCCAATCTTCTCAAAACTCTGGATTCTGACAGAGGGTCATGAGACTTAGACCTGAGTGCAACAATGGAGGCTCTAGACCCTTCCAGAGCTGAGATATCGAAACTCAAAATTTCGACCAGAAAAAAAAACGACAGTGTTACCCCTTACGTTTTTTTTGGGGGGGGCGAAAAATTAAGTTTCCCCAATCTTCCCAAAACTCTGGATTCTGATAGAGGGCCATGAGACTTAGACCTGAGTGCAACAATGGAGGCTCTAGACCCTTCCAGAGCTGAGATATCGAAACTCAAAATTTAGACCAGAAAAAAAAACGACAGTGTTACCCCTTACGTTTTTTTTGGGGGGGGGCGAAAAATTAAGTTTCCCCAATCTTCTCAAAACTCTGGATTCTGATAGAGGGTCATGAGACTTAGACCTGAGTGCAACAATGGAGGCTCTAGACCCTTCCAGAGCTGAGATATCGAAACTCAAAATTTCGACCAGAAAAAAAAAACGACAGTGTTACCCCTTACGTTTTTTTTGGGGGGCGAAAAATTAAGTTTCCCCAATCTTCCCAAAACTCTGGATTCTGATAGAGGGCCATGAGACTTAGACCTGAGTGCAACAATGGAGGCTCTAGACCCTTCCAGAGCTGAGATATCGAAACTCAAAATTTAGACCAGAAAAAAAAACGACAGTGTTACCCCTTACGTTTTTTTTGGGGGGGGGCAAAAAAATTAAGTTTCCCCAATCTTCCCAAAACTCTGGATTCTGATAGAGGGCCATGAGACTTAGACCTGAGTGCAACAATAGAGGCTCTAGACCCTTCCAGAGCTGAGATATCGGAACTCAACATTTCGACCAAAAAAAAAAAACGACAGTGGTACCCCTTTCGGGGTTTTTTTTGGGCGAAAAATTAAGTTTCCCCAATCTTCTCAAAACTCTGGATTCTGATAGAGGGCCATGAGACTTAGACCTGAGTGCAACAATGGAGGCTCTAGACCCTTCCAGAGCTGAGATATCGAAAATCAAAATTTCGACCAGAAAAAAAACCGACAGTGTTACCCCTTACGGTTTTTTTGGGGGGGCGAAAAATTAAGTTTCCCCAATCTTCTCAAAACTCTGGATTCTCATAGAGGGCCATGAGACTTAGACCTGAGTGCAACAATGGAGGCTCTAGACCCTTCCAGAGCTGAGATATCGGAAATCAAAATTTCGACCAGAAAAAAACGACAGTGTTACCCCTTACGGTTTTTTTTTTTTTTGGGCGAAAAATGAAGTTTCCCCAATCTTCTCAAAACACTGGATTCTGATAGAGAGCCATGAGACTTGAGACCTGAGTGCAACAATGGAGGCTCTAGACCCTTCCAGAGCTGCGATATATCAGGTCTTAAATTTAATTTAGAAGTGGTATTAAAAAGTCTTAAATTTAAAATGTTTATACCTGTAGCCACCCTGATATAATACACAACTGCAAATGAATATATCTAATTTTTTCTAGTCAGCTAAATGAATAAATGTAAATATTTCTCTATTGTTTTTAATTTGATTGTCATTCACAATGCTTCATAGGATTGTAGTTTTTCTCAAATCCAAGTACACAGTTGTTGTTGTTTTTTAAAATAATTTTTGTATGTAAGTTTGTTATGTGACTGGTTGGTTTTGTTCACATGGCTTATAGCACTTTGACCAAATTTATTTATAATTATTATTTTTTAATTGAACGGGAAAATACTTCCGTAACCAATCCTGCTGATCAACAGTTGTGCACTGTTGCACTCTATGAGCTTTCAGTATTAGCATCTTGGACTAATGTGGCTAGAGATGAAACTAACAAAACTATTGAATATATTGCTCTTGCTTTGTATCTGCTTTGTAGTTTCCCAAATGAGCCAATGGAGCATGATGAAGATGATTCAATGTAGAAGTCTACTCCTTTTCTGGGGGACTTCATTCCTCTCCAAGCAGAAGCTGGACATCCTGTGCTTTAACTGACTGAAGCTACTGTAATATTACTGTGTGAGACAGGAGACAATCCTTAGGAACTAAGATCAACAAAAGAACTTAACTGTCATAATCACATCTAGTGTGTGATTTATTCAAATGTTGACTCTGTCCTTGGTGGATTTGAAGGACTTTTTATTTCTTTTTTTGACCATTTATTTCTAAGCTTTTATTAATTGCACTTTGTATTCATCCATTAAAAAAAATCCTGAGACATTATACATTGTTTGTTTTATTATTATTCATATTGATTTCTCTTCAATGAACATGCAAGGCAGCTTATCCTTGAATGTAAACTACGTATATAGCAAACACAAAGAAAAGGGAACAAAGTGCTTTTTACTATATCGTTTGCAAGACCATTTGGGCTGATACTAATTTCTGAGGATATTAATTTTCTTTTTTATCACCAAATTGCTTTACAATTAAATTGAAAGTTTTTTGTGTGAAATGCCATTACATAATTTGCCTGGATTTGTATGTTTTGTAGGCTTTTCAGTTTTCTTCAACATGTTTTGCTATTCTCAGAATTAAATAAAGCTGTATTTTTTAAAACAGTTTGCAAATCAAGAAGCATGTGTCTGGTTGCCATAACAGGTTATTTTATTAATGGCCCGCTCACACATAAAGTTATTAATTTCATAACATTACAGTATAATGGATACGTTCACAAAAGTGTCTGAAATGTTAGGCAAACGCCAACATCACATTCAAACAGTGTAACACAATGTTTCTGTGTAAATATAAAAAGAAATCTCAACATAATATAAGATATGCATGCAGTATTGTCTGAGTGAATGAATTTATACAAAACAACTCTCAGATGACAGACGTGATGGTAATACTGAAAATCACTAACCCTGTAGGTCTACAAATATCATTGATTGAATCATTCATATAATCCAAATGTGTGCTAGATGTTGCTTTGGGGTCATAAAAATATAAACAAGAAAAGAAAAACAAAAAGCCTTTCCAAACGACGTTTCCCTCGTCAATAAAGCCTCAAGATTCCCACACAAGGTTTTCGATTGTTTAAACCACATTGTCTAGACAATAAAGTGCTTATTTAACAATCAACAGCCAGCTACCTAAATGCAAAGAGGCAGAAGGAGAAATTGTTTTTTAGGGACAGCTTAATAAAAACCTGTCACTTATCAATATCCCATAATGAAACTGCAGAAAAAACATTCAGGACAACAAGAAAAGAGCAGCAAGGAGAAAGACAAAAGACTCCTCCTAATACCTATTAACCATACATACTCAAAGTGAAAATATTCACATTGATCAGAGCTATTAAAAAGGCAAAAAATGTAAATGACAGATGACGTCCTTCAACATACTCTTGCGTCTAACAAGATCTAAAACAGACAACAGTAGATAGAGAGGGAAGTGATACACTAATGTCGTATATTGATATAATAAAAAAACACGAAAGCTTTCTGACTCTCCACGTTGAGTGTTCCTTGTCCATTTCAAATGGTAACAGCCAAGCATGTCTCCATTCTCTGTGGGCACGAGTGCATCACTGTGTGTGTATTTAAAAGTCACTGAGGATGGAGATGTCGGCAAATTCTTTGTGATACCGATGAGAATAGAGGGCCAGCAGGAACGCCCACTTCAAACTCATGAAGCTCCACACACATGACAGGTACAGACTGGCAGGATCTGTGAGGGCTGTAGACACACACACACACACACACACATTAAAAAGTAAGTGAAACAGTTGAAAAGAGTTAAAACAACCGTCCTCCTGAGTTTAATGTCCTGAAGACCACTTTCTCTTCATGTTACAAATACAATTTCAAAGCAAACATTCATGACTTCAGTGCTTCAGTATGGACCTCTACTCACATTCTTTGTGGGAGACGGCCACACCGAGGAAGGAGATGAACGCTACGATGGAAAACATGGAGAAAGTGACGCCTGTGACCAAGAAAAACTTCAGGCCCTTTAACCATGTTCTCCAAAAGTCCTGAAGGTACATTATGTGTGTGACCAGAGTCCAATGCAAGAAAATGCAAGTTAAAGGTGCTATGTGTAATTTTTAGCAGCCTCTATCAGTGATGTTTCAGATTGCAACCGATTTTTACAACAGTGCTCGTGCGCTTGCACGTGCTTGAACACAAGAGCGATCACTCATGGTACACGGCCACACTTTTTTCCACTCAGGTCAAAGTCTCATGGCCCTCCATCAGAATCCAGAGTTTCAAGAAGATCAGAGAAACTCAAAATTTCGACCCCCCAAAAAAACGACAGTGAAAAAATACGTTTCTCCAATCTTCTCCAAACTCTGGATTCTGATAGAGGGACATGAGACTTAGACCTGAGTGCAAAAATGGAGGCTCTAGACCCTTCCAGAGCTAAGATATTGAGATTTTTATAAAGGCATAAATGCTACGTGGGATCTCAATATCTCAGCTCGGGAAGGGTCTAGAGACTCCATTTTTGCACTCAGGTCTAAGTCTCATGGCCCTCTATCAGAATCCAGAGTTTTGAAAAGATTGGAGAAACTTATTTTTTCGCACCGAAAAAAAAACGAAAGGGGTACCACTGTCGTTTTTTTGGGGGGTCGAAATTTTGAGTTTCTCTGATCTTTTTGAAACTCTGGATTCTGATAGAGGGCCATGAGACTTTGACCTGACTGCAAAAATGGAGGCTCTAGACCCTTCCAGAGCTAAGATATTGAGATTTGTATAATGGCATAAATGCTACGTGGGATCTCAATATCTCAGCTCTGGAAGGGTCTAGAGCCTCCATTTTTGCACTCAGGTCTAAGTCCCATGGCCCTCTATCAGAATCCAGAGTTTTAAGAACATTAGAGAAACTTATTTTTTCGCACAAAAAAAAACGAAAGGGGTACCACTGTCGTTTTTTTTTTTTTTTTTTTCGGGTCGAAATTTTGAGTTGCTCTGATCTTCTTGAAACTCTGTATTCTGACAGAGGGCCATGGGACTTAGACTTGAGTGCAAAAATGGAGGCTCTAGACCCTTCCAGAGCTGAGATATTGAGATATTTATAATGGCATAAATGCTACGTGGGATCTTAATATCTCAGCTCTGGAAGGGTCTAGAGACTCCATTTTTGCACTCAGGTCTAAGTCCCATGGCCCTCTAGTGTAAAAAGTCTTATTTTCTATTATCACTCCAAAGTGCACTCCATGGCATCATTTCTCTCAGCTTTGGACTGTTGAGGAAAACATAGTATCTCAGAAATTGATTTTGCATGGAGAAGTATAGAGATCTTGATCCCTGGAGTAAGTGCTGGTCAGCTTCATCCTGATCCTGAAGCTGTGGGAATAAATGTAGTTGATACCTGAGAATGTAAGTCAGATGGTGTCTCGAACGGTTTTGCCATTTTACTCTCTCAGGAGTCATTTTGATACTGCTGAAAACAATGAAGCCGAAGGTAAACGTATAAACGATTGAGTATATTATCTTTGTCTGCCTCTGAGTAAAAGATAATTGTATATCTCTACATTGCAACATATCATCTCACAATTTTTTACGTATTTCTTTTTCCTCCATATATAGGCTTACTGGTACAGACTAATTTCGATCTAAAATTCATCCTTGTCTAAATCAATGGTGTGTGTTTGGGGAGGTGCAGTTTGTTTGATCAATAGTGTTATGAATACCTTATTTCCAATCGGTGACAGTAGTGCAGAAATCACACGAGTATTGTTTGAAAGGCGAATAAAGGACAAGTTCCCACTCTATGTGCAGCAGAGCATTTATTATAGTTTGTTGCCTGCATTTTGAGTTGTAGATCTATACATTTTCTCCCGTCTTTCCACTAAGATAAGAGACCCGTACTATAGTGTTTTGTAAACACATCATATTTTCAGCTATACGTGCAGTTTGTTCTGACCTCTGCAGAGGGGAAATATAGGCTGGCGAAGAAACACAGAGGAGAGCTACGAATTAGAGTATAGTCCATTAAATCTGTGTTTTATAAGGGCTTTAAATAACTGGCTGTGTTGGCCAGAATATTGCTCTAAAAGTGCTTTCAGAATTGATTGAGTTGGACGTTTAGTGCTTTAATTATAAAGTGGTTTGTGTTCTTAAGCTAGAGCTAATAATAAATATCAGATTGCTCATAAAACTGCAATATGGCAATACATAAAGCAGTACAGAAGAATGTTGCAGTAATTTACAGGACTTTAGGTATTCAGCAATACACTTTCAAGCTGTAAACCTGCATGTCAAACATGGATCTGGGAATCATTTCTCATCATTCCCTTTTCACATCAATCAAAGCAAGCGGACACACCTCCTCGCCATAATGAGCTCTATATCTATTTATTAAGCATCTGGATTGGAGGGCCATATTCTCTTAGAACCACTAAAACAATTTTAAACAAACATACAGTAATTGCACAAAATCTTCTTTTTCTAGACTTGGACAGTTTTTCAAACATAAACGGAGTGATTTTGGGGTTTATTGGTTGATCACATGATTTGTCCATTTATCATGTGTCGTATAGGGGAGACCACAAGTAACATGTCATGTGCCTGACCTGTAGAGGGACTGTCTAAATGAGTAAAGACCCTATAACTCAGACTGGACGGTCCTTTGCTCAGGCAAATTCACAGAATGTTGCTGAGTCAAAGTCTATCTATGGATAAGAGCTGCCATTGTTTGGTGCTGTGGTGCAGCTTTTTGATTTATGACCGTGCACTGAAAGTGCTGCTTATGGATTCCCCAGCATACTGAGTCTTGGGGAAAACCTATTAACTCATTTTAGAGCTATATCTACAATAATTGTATCACTGAATCTTGTACATGTATAGAGAGAGAGACAGAAATTGTACCCTCAGTTCCATAAATATATAATACACAACTAAGTCTTTACAGTTCCCTAGAGAGGTCATATTATGAAAAATTGGATTTTCCTTAAAGGTATACTTCAGGATTTAGCATTAAGCTTTATATTAACCTGTATTTTCGAATTATCCTGCTTTCCACCCTCATATCCCCCTGAGACAAGAGATTTACTGTATGTTTTTTTTTTTTTTTTTTTTGTCTGGAAAAAATCCTCTGAAGAAGCAAAAAATGTTATTTTGCGTCATCTGAGGATTTTTTGGACAGAGGCTAAAGACTACAGCCAGTAGTAGGGGATGTCCCGCATGTTTTCATGGAATCTCACTCACAGAATGTACACATAGTGTCAGCCATCCTTTTTTTTTGGAAGCTAAGCTAACAGGCTCTTGTTCTGTGGAGAAAGCTAAGTAGTAGGGGTTACCATCCTCGGTGCTACGGCCCTCAGTCTCGTCCTGCTCGCCACAGTAAACATAATGAATGGCGACTGTAGAACGCAAAAGCTGAATTCCAGACATTTTGGGCGACCTCGAAACACATTTTCGGGGAGACTCATCGCGGAGACTCACTAGTAGCCTGGAGTTGTTTTTTAACTACAGCGCTCTGTTACCGGTAGGCGTGGCCTCCTAGGACAGCGAAGCAAGAGCATTCTGGGAGTTGTTGTCTTTCATCCACATAAGCCAAAAATACATTTTCTGGCTTTTCTCAGTCTAGAAAGCTCCAAATTAAAAAAAAACAATTTCACATTTCCTCTACATAAATGACCCATTTTAAATACACATTCATCTTTCCAGAGGGGAAACTTTATCCCTTTAACTGATCTCATTAAAAGAATTTAATTGTTTGATAAACAGAAACTTTTTCAAAAATGATCATCAAATTTTTAACATGAAATTCAACATGGTTGTATATTTAAGCTGCGAATATTTCGGTAACACTTTAGAACACTGTATCTTACTTACTGCAGAATTAATAAGGAATTATTGACGAACTAATAGGTAATTCTTCATTAACTACTTCTTCACTACTGTTAACTACTAAGGAAGATGTGTTAACTAATCAGTATGTAATATAATTTTATGATTGTGTTAAGTATCAGTTAGTTAATCAATAACTAATGAATTCTGTCATACCTCCTGAAGAACTACTACAAATTATCTACTAATTAAGGTTCAAGAAAAATAACTAAGAAGTAACTACTGAACAGTCATACAAAACTAACCTCAGATTATTTGTATATTTTATTTACAGTACTGTGTGAGTCTGTTTTACTCAGCATAGAATGCCACTGAGTAAATTCATGTATTTGAGGCAACGACTGAGGGAAACTGAAAATATAGAGAACTTATTAGTAATTAATAAAAAGTATCAAATAATTCTGCAGGAATTACTTAGAAGCTGGAACAGTATTCTAAAGTGAAAATATAGGGAACCCATTAGTAATTAATAAAGAATTATCAAATAATTATCTAGAAATTAGGCTACTTATAATCTGAAACAATCTTCTAAAGTGAAAATATAAGGAACTTATTAGTAATTAATAAATAACTTTTAAATAGTTCTTCAGGAATTACTTAGAGCCTGAAACAGTATTCTAAAGTGACAATACAGGGAACCCATTAGTAATTAATAAATAATTATCAAATTAATTATCTAGGAATTAGGCTACTTATAACCTGAAACAGTCTTCTAAAGTAAAAATATAAGGAACTTATTAGTAATTAATAAATAATTATTAGATAGTCCTTCAGGAATTACTTAGAACCTGAAACAGTATTCTAAAGTGACAATACCCATTAGTAATTAATAAAGAATTACCGCATACTTCTGACTCAAATCAAACTTACTGTAAATAA